AATGTTGAGAAATTCTATGTAATTGTATATGTATATAGTTTCAAGAATCTTAATAAAGTACTAGCGTAACTGCTTAAAGTTTAAAAAAAAAAAAAAAAAAAAATTCTTGTTTAATATGCCTTTAGTTGATATTATAATTTTCTATTAATTAGATCATTATTATATAATGATTTTTCAATATGATTATAATTAAATAAATTTTTTATTTGGGATTTTTTTATTATAAATTGATAATTTTAATAAATAACATCATTTAAAATCAAACAAAAAAAAAATTTAAAAACCGCTATAAGGCCATGCAAATTTAATTAATTGTTTTTCATAACCCGGCTGGGTCAAAATTTGAAAACATATAAAAAATTTTATGTTTAATAACCAGGTGGGATTGAAAACAAAATTTTACAAAAATTTTATAAACTTTTTGTATATGAAATTTTTAAAAAAAGCCAGCTGGGTTTGTTTAAAAATTTCATGCTATGAAAACCAAGAAATTAAATTTGTATGACCTAATAAATAAAAAAAAAAAATTTAAATCAAAGAACTGTTATAGTAATTAATTCCAGTAAATTATAATCGAAGAAACTACCATATTGCATCATTTCAAGAAGCTGAAATACCATCCACAAATTTTTTCACATCATCATTATCTTCAGGAGTAGAATTAGAATCACTTTTAACAATATTACTTGAATTAAGTCAGCTTAGACTGTCCAAAAGTGATTGAACATACATGTTGATACTGCTTTTAATGTAATCTAAGTAATGCAAACACTTGCATTCATTTTTTCTAAAACATGTGTCATGATATGCATAACTATATGGTAATATCCAATCTGTTTCTTCAGTAAGATCATTAATAATTGAACAATCAGAAAGATTACAACTAGACAAATTAGATTTACACGAAGAACTATATCCTAGAGGTAGATGACAAAGCCATGCTTTCTTCATCCTCATTGCCAGAATAGGAATACTGTTTTCCACGATGATATTTTCTTCCTTCTTGTTTTTCTTTATCGAAGGTTTTTTAGTAACCTGCGATGGAATTACAAATTAGATTTTTTCATGTTTAATATTAATATAGATATTAGAAAAACATTCTAACAAAAAATATATAGTTTTCTGTGTTAATGTTTCAATATTGTGAGAAAAATATGGATAAACCACCCAAGATGAATTATAAACAAAATTTTCTTTAAAACCATCATTATCAAACTATAAATAATTAATCTGCTGTGCCTCTCTTATGATTTGGTCTGCTATAAAAAATTTTTCTGTATTGTGATGTAAAAGGTTATAAAAAATTTCTACAAGTGTATCAAAAAATTTCGATAATTTGGATCTTATTGTTTTCAAAATTGAATGATTTTTTAAATTTTAAAAAAAAACATCTGAAAGAAATATTAAAGATGCCTTGGTGTAATTTTTACGATAAAACTTAAAAAAAATGACCCAAACTCGAAAGCAAGATTTAATATATGAGTGAAAATTGCCAGAATGAAAAAAAGAAGCATAAATATCAAGAACCAATGGAATCGTATTATCTAACAGGTTCTTAAACATTATATATTCTGCATCATTACATACAAACTCGAATTTTATTTCAACCATTTTCACGATTTCTTGCCATGTGCTACATGAAAGCTTCAATAATAAATTTATGCACTATGGCTTTGACTTTTGGACAAGTTTTTTTTTTTTCTAAATACATAGGTGTACATTTCAGCAAAAATAGTTGATATTGCAAAAAAACCAATTCACAGCTGTTCAGTAAGACATGCAGAGGACCTAACATTGAAAGAATTGATAAAATTTTATCAATAATTCTGGAAGAACTACCATGAACAAGATATCGGGAAATAACTGTTCTTAAAAATATTTGACCCAATCAGTCAGCAATGACTGGAATACCATTTCCTTCTTTAATATACTTGTTGATTACTGGAGTAGATATGATAGCATTAATGATATCAATATAATCTTCTACAAAATGAAGTTGGTTTTTCAAAAGGTCCACAAGTACAGCATCTTTTATCAACCTTGTGCCTTTTTTTTCTTTCAAATGAATATCGTAACTGTGAACTGTTAACTCCTTAAGCTTTTTTTCATCAGTCATGAAACGAAATTCCCAATGTTGATTATGAGAAAATAAATACATTGGCATAAAGTGATTTTCAATTTCAGTCTTAATTAATGAGGCATCAACTAAGACGAGATTATGAATATTTTGTCTTGGTATTGGTGGTTGGTTCTTGATAAGGTTAAGAAGGATAGTAATGAGACTTTCTCCTGTTGATAATATAGATGTAGTAGACATCATTTTAGTATAAATACTGTGATAATCGTCAATATTTAAAATTAAGACATTATTAATATTATTCACAAGATTTGTTTTTACAATTTCTGTATAGTTTTTAGATACGACATCCTTGTGATAGGCAATTGAACAAGATGTTATTGTTAAGCCTAATGCTGCCATGATATTAATTGTTGAATCAGATGTTCTCGTAGAATTTAAATATATTTCTAAATTTCTTTTTGCATTGTTAACAAATTTGTTTCTGATACCACACATAAAATAACATAAGAACACCAACTGTTTTGATACTTTTTCCATTGTATTTTTATTTTTTGACAATGAATTAGTTGATAAATATAGTTCATCAAAAAAAGACCCTAACCGTTGATCCCATAATCACACGAAGTTCTTCAAATGCCCAAATTGGTGACAATTCATTATGTTCTCTTTCATAAAGAACATCCATAATTATTCCTATTGCTTGTGAAAAAAATAAAGCAGTATTAGCATTAGGTAGTTCTGATTCTGACTCATCCTGAGAATACCAGTTCAATGCATGTTGTTGAAATTCAGAAGATACATTTATAACAATTGCATTATAGCAATCTAAACATAATGTATCAGTTTTCATAATATAAAAAGGAAGTGTTCTATTATTTGCTTCTTTAGAAAGAACTAGACCAGTTACAGACTTCCAGGTTGAAGATTTTCTCTTGCAAATTTTTATGGAGCATGGTCCGTTGACTTTTTTTTCTTTACCTATTATGAAAAATCGCTACTAAGGTAACACCTCTTAAATATGAGATTATATAAGATTATTTTTAAAGGTGGTTTCCTAACACTCTAACGAAGCGAAATATGTAAAAAAAAGTTTTTTCTTGTTAGTGAAACGTTACGTTCTTAAAAAGTACTTTAAAGTGCATAAATAAGTTACCCGGGTAATTGATTTGCATTAGCCAATCAGACGAATTTCAGCCCATGAGTTCCAATCCCTTAAAAATAACTCGATAGTCCGATCATTAAAAATTAAGAAAATGATCTACATTATAAAATTTCACTGCCCAATCGAATTTCAAGGTCATGTGTAACGTAGCACGATCAGGATAATTCAAAACCGTTCGTTTTGTCAAAAATCGCAAAAATTAGTCTATGAAAGAGCTTTCTGCGCATTAGTAAAAAGTTTTCCTTGCAAAATTTTGATATAAAAAACAAATCCAAAACCTAACCTATGGGCAATACCTAAGCCTAACCTAATAAAACAAAATTTTACTTCGAGTGGCAATTCTACTCTATTGCTCCCTTTAGACAATATCTAAAGATAATCAACCAGATTTTTGAACGGATCCAAACCAGATTTGGAATCAAAAAACTGAGTAATCAATTTTTCTATATAAAATGGTGATATGATAACGATAATAACAGGTTTTTGTATAATTTAAGGCATTTCGTAAAAAACAATTACCTTTTAAATCGGTTCAAACTGGAAAAGTTAAATTAGCGTTAGCCGATAAGATTTTTATTGATAGTTTGGAATTTCCCACGCTGGTGTATATGTTTCGCGTCATTTCGATTTTCACTGATCGAGAGGGTGAAACCCGCGCTGTAAATTAGCTATCGCTATGTTTTTTATTATGCAAAAGCGGATTTCACCCTCATGTGATCTACGTAGCGGATTTTACTAATTCACAATGTGGGTTTCACCCTGTCGTATATGTAATAATAATAATATCGATATAGTAATTAAATAAGATATTCTTTTATTGTCACATTTTAATTCATTATTCGAATTGATTTTACCGTTGTGTATTACATATTTTCTCAGCACTTATTGACATTTATGGTTTCGCAAGGATTTGTAAAACCTTCGACTGAATATTAAAATGTTTCATTGAAAGCCGACAAAACCTTACACGCTCACTCAATAGTATTAATGAGTATCCGCCAAATATCTTTAAATGCACATTTGCATTATGGCTCCGAGGATCATTTTTATTAAATCGGTAACGGCAAACGGATACCGATCCTAAAACGACATATGTCATTTATGTCAATTCCGAATCGACATAAATTCTGAAATGACGTAAAACATACGTAAAACATATATAACCGACAATGCACTCTTTACAAAAAAAAATATGGAGGACGAAACTGTAAAAGGTTTACTTCACAAAATTTTGAAATCTGTCGAACTTTTAAAAAAAGAGCAAGACGCGCTCTCAGCAAAGGTATTATCTTATAAAACTAACGAAATGTATATTTTTTATAATCACGTCTAAAATATTTTTATTATAACCGTGTTGACAGTTTGATTCATATGAAAAACAAACTAATGACAAATTAACAAAGCTACAGGCTCAATTGAAGCCAAGTAGTGAAAAAATCGAAAAAACTAAAGTCAAAGGTGACTTATCTATAAAATATACTACGTATTTCTCCTCTCTTTTTTAACTCAAAAACTGACAAGATTACTTTAGAAGTCCAGCCAAAGCCCAATGTAACGTCTAAAGGATCTAAATTATATCCTGATATAATAATTTTGACAAGTAGGTTTTTGACATTAATTTATTTCATTAATTATGCTTATTCTTACACTTTGACATTATTATGTAGCATATCCTGACCAATTTGGTATTAAACCTATACCTCTTGAATGGGGCGAACATGATCCAGAAGCTCGTGGTCCAGTGTTAGCATCTCGTCATCCTTCAAGTATTAAGATTCGGTATGTAATGGTCTATAATTTAAATAATAATTTATAGTAATTTATAGTAATTTATACCGGTCAAATCATAAATTTGCTGGTTGTTAGTTAAAAGGTCTCTGGTCTATTAAATATTTGGTTACACGAAATAATATATAGTAAGTTATATACTGCTTACACTTTGACCAATTTTAAATTAGTATTAAACTCTTGGATTAAACCTGTTAAATTTGTTCTGGTTAAAACTTGATTGTTGACCAACCCATGTCAATTTTGATTTGTAACTTCCATTAATCTTTAACTTTCTTTAATTTGTAATTATTATAGCAATGCAATTGGTGCATATGGTGGCTCTTACTGTGTATATCGTGCATTGGCTGTTGCTATGGGTGCTCTTGATCTCGATCATCGCCCCGATTTTCAAAATACAGAACCCACTGTCACAATAGGTCCTCATCCCCAATGGGGAATACCCGATAAAATTGTTTCTCTTGATCCTTTTGGTCATCTTACTACTTCTTTGTTTAGTAGTCAAATTGCTCAAGGACTAGATATTCGTCCTACAATTGCAATAACAAAAGCTCACATGAAGGTACCTGAAATTGAAAACCTTGTAAAGGAAGGAAAGTTAAAAGTTGATGGAAATATTGTGTTAAATGAAACTGGTGAATTGAACGTTGTGAAAGCTGCTGTTGAACCCGTTTGGTATTTGCCTGGTGTAGCTTCAAGATTTGGTATTGATGAAGGTGCTTTACGTCGTGCTCTTTTTGAAGATACTGGTGGCATGTATCCAGAATTAATCACTCGTCCTGACCTTAAAGTCTTTTTACCTCCCATTGGTGGTCTATCTGTATATATATTTGGTAATCCTGCTTTCATTAGCGATTCATCAAAGCGGTTAACGGTACGAGTTCATGACGAATGTAATGGCTCTGATGTGTTTGGTTCGGACATTTGTACATGTAGACCATATTTGATATATGGTATGGAAGAAAGTGTTAAGGAAGCTCAGAACGGCGGTGCTGGTGTTATCGTTTATTGTAAGTAATGTTCGAATAGATAAAAGAACTTTTTAAATGCTCTTTCAAATAAGTTTGAACCATAGAAGATGCATTTAGAGAAATCTTACTAAAATTTGATGTGTTTTTTATGAAACTAATAAACATACATTAATAATATTATTTATTACAACAGTCCGTAAAGAAGGTCGTGCGCTTGGTGAAGTAACCAAATATCTCGTATATAATGCGCGTAAACGTTCAGCTGGTGGTGATACTGCAGATAATTACTTTTTACGTACTGGTAATATATTTGACAATTTGTTTTGTCACATTAAAAAATAATTGTCATAATAAAACACTTAAATCTTAATACAGGAATATGTTTATTTTTTTTGCATATTAGAGAACGTTGCCGGTGTTAAAGATATGCGATTTCAAGCTTTAATGCCGGATGTTCTACATTGGCTTGGCATTACGAAGATTGATAGAATGATGTCAATGTCCAACATGAAATATGATGCCATCGTTGGATCCGGAATATCTATTCATGAGCGTGTACCAATTCCAGATGAATTGATTCCACCGGATTCTCGGTTTGTATTATAATTTGTTTTATTATTTTTTAGAACTTATCTTTTAGAATTATCTTTTAAACAATGATACTGGAACTATTGTAAATTCTTTAGTGTCGAAATTGATGCCAAAATCGCAGAAGGCTATTTTAGTACCAAAAAAGCACCCTCAAAAGAAGAGCTTTCACAGGTTAAAGGTAGAGGGTGGGATGATATTCAACATTGAAATATATATTTCACTTGCAAATATAAATTTTATCTATTGGCGATAATATCATTAATGTAAAGCTTTATTAATAATTTTCTTAATTTTTTTCCTGCTTTGTTTGTATAATTTTTAGTATTTAAGATTAAATGATAATTTATAACTTACATACGTGTTTAAAGTTCTAATTATGATTGAAATCATCTTTTTTTTAACTAATCTCGAACAAAGAAAAAAAAAATATAAAGTAAAGCTGAATCAGACCCATATTCATTTATCCTATCCACTATATAAAAAAATAATGAAACGTATCTGTGTTCATATTCAATTTTCAGTCTTGATCAGATACACCATATCGACTATAGACCAACGTAAAAAAAAATTGATCAATAAAACTAACATACGAATCATATAATAAGAAATGTCGCACCTTTTCAATTCTTTTAATTCTTCTTCTTTCTTTTGTAGGTTCATCTTTTTCGTAACTTTATTGGGTTGATAGTATAATACAATAAGATATCTACCCATAACATTAAATCCATTAAGATGATCACATGCAGCTTTAGCATCGAATATGTCTAATAGAAGTGATGAAAGTGAATAATAAGTATGTACATATTGCAGATGAAACTCTTGAAGGACATTACCTTCATAAACTACAAAAGCAGTCCCACGTGTATCTTTTTCTCCTCTAATACATTAAAGATATACATTTAGGATACATATAACTCAATTTCATAATACATGTATGTAGATCAAAGGTTCAAAGAAAAAATCTTACAATCTGATCTGTCGTATAGCACCGTATTTTCCAAAAATATCATACATTTCTTCAGAAGTGATATTGAAAGGAAGATTTCGAACGAATAAAACACGATTTACTTCAGGTGGTAACCGGGCCTTTTTGATCGAGATCGAAAAAAAGACGTTAGAGAGTAAAATTTGGGCGGATCAATTATTCGCTTTAACCTACATTCCGGTTTTTTGCAGAAGCTGCCATCGCCATTGTAACTTTTTTTTCTTGAAAACTTAATGTCTTTGGAGATGTAAAGGACACTTTAGATAGTGAGTGAGCAGCTATCCCAACGCCATTAAAAATTCCAACATAGCAGATAATCTCTATGATTGGTTAATTTTTGTAGCTTACCCGTGATAATCTCCAAATTTTCTGCTCAGTCATGTGATTTTATGTGTTGTGATTGGCTGGTCATATATTGCATTTATTTATTAAACATCAAAAGTACTCTGAAGAAAATTTACCTACCGTATTTTATGGGCCAAACCACCCCCCTGTCGGATTTTGCGGATATTTTAATGATGCATATCGGATTTGTATCACTACAGACAATTGCCGTTGTAATTATTACAACAATTGGCATATGTCATTATTACAACAATTACCGTTACCAAATAGCTGTTCACAATTTAAATTAAAACAGAGTATTTGTTATTTCGCCATTAAATTTTGCCGTATATAATTTAGAAGATAGTATAGTTTGCTTTATTTTCTCTAGCATATAATCGTTATTTGATAATTGTAATAAAAGAGATTCGTAAGAACAAACAGATTTTTTTATTTATTAAACAGTGAATTATGTCTTTTTTATGAGAACAAACAGATCATAATTTTTTTAGTTATATTTGTGAGAACAAACAGATCAGTTTTAGTTATATTTGCGAAAACAAACGGATTACTTTATAATAAATATTATATATATATGACGTAAAAATGATCATTTTTTTTTAAAAAAAAATGATGACTTTATGTAATAAAAGTATTTCTAAAACTCATATAACAAAAAAATTAAAAAGAAAATAGAATGCCTGTGAAAAATTAAACATTATTACTTACTATGAACAAAATAAAGTAAAACTAAGTATTAATGAAACATGTAAAGTTTTTAGAATCCAATTGAATCAATTACATGATTGGATAAATAAAAAAGATAAATTAATTAAAACTTCACCAAAAACATTTAAGTTACATGACAGACACCCACCTCATTATCCACAAATTGAAACAGTTTTAGTTAATTGGATTATGGATCAACATCAATTACAAAATGCTGTTATAAGAGAAATGATAACTGCAAAGGAAATTTCACTTACAGGTCAATTAAATCTTCAATCATTTAAGGTGTCAGGTAACTGGCTTGATGGTTTCTTGAATCATCATAATTTATCACTTCGACGTGGGACAACTGTTTCACAAAAACTACCTGAAGATTTAGAAGAACAACAACAAAATTTCCTTAATTATATTTTAAATCTATGAATTCGTTACAATTATCCTTTATGCTTAATAGGAAATATGGATGAAACTCCTCTCACATTTGATTCACCAAACCCATCAACAATTGAGACTCAAGGAACCTATACTATTAGCATTCGAACTACTGGCTATGAAAAAAAAATTTTACAGTTATTCTTGTGTGTTTAACTGATGGAACGAAACTGCCACCTGTATGCATTTTTAAAAGAAAAACCTTACCTCAAAAGAATTTTTCTTATAATGTTTTTGTTTGGGTAAATGAAAAAGGTTGGGTTAATAAAAACGAAATGCTATGGTAGATCAAAAACATTTGGGCTAGAAGAGCACCTAACAATCCATGATCTCTTTTAATACTTGACTCCTTTTGTGCACATTTAATGGATCTAGTTAAAGAACATTTGCTTATTCATAATACAAATATGGCTGTAATTCCCGGTAGACTTACATCTAAGTTATAGCCACTAGATGTTAGTATTAATAAAATTTCAAGTCAAAAATCTGGGTACTTTATAATCGTTGGATATCAGAACCAATTCATGAGCTAACTTTTTTAGAACGTATTAAGAGACCATCATATTTATTACTTGCCTCATGGGTGGGAGTTGCCTGGGATTCACTTGAACCAAGTTTAATTAGACATTCATTTGACTGTTATAAAATTTGATTTTTTTTTTTTTGTTATTATTTGTCAGCATTGTTACACATAAATAAACTATCATATGTATCATTTAAATATCTGCATAACTGATAATTATTTTATGACAAGGAGGTGGTTTGGTCTATAAAATACGGTAATAATGTATAAATAAAAAATGTACTCACTCTTCAAGCATACATTTAAATGGTTTGTCTAATAATTCTTATGTAAAGATACAATATATTTAATTCACAATGCAATAAATAATTGTATTTAAATTTAGAGTGTGGGTCTCATAGCTTAGCGGTTAAGCTTCCATGCCCCCACAGTTAAGGTCAATGGTTCAAGTCCGGCTGAAGACAAAATTAAAAGATTTTAGCCTCTGTAACCCAATAAGAAGCCAGTAATTGAATGCAAAGCCCTGTGGTTAAGTTCAAGTGCAGTACATGACTGAAGTAGGAATTTCCAGAAGGAGACCCAATCATGGAGTGTAGACACTATGCGTAACAAGCAGTTGTTACAGAAGGTTACGGTTATGGAAAGATTACACATATAAGTTCTTTAGGCTAGGGCAGCACCAACATCCCTACACCTTCTAATTAGGCAGTACCAACATCTCCACACCCAACTTGTGGGGTACTTGCTTAGAAGGATAATCAACGAATTGTGCAAATAAGTCCTAATTGGGACCCAAGGAAAAGAATTTGATTGGAAGAGTAGTCTGGAAGTAACCAAGACTG